ATGTTTGCACCATTGCATTTATTTGCACTGGATGATTTGAAATGAAAGAACAAACATAAAACTAGCAATGAGTAATACAATTGCATAAACATTACATCATTAATTATTTAATTAACCAAAAAAATTACATCTTTAGTAATAACAAATTAATTCTTAAACAAAAATATTAAATATAAATTAAGCAAACGTGTATTGTACGTTGCTTACACCTAGTGTTTAAAAAATATGCATAACAAGAACTGTTGGATAAATTTCGTCCAAAAATTCCTCAGATGATCAATTACATAGGGATTGACCTTCATTTGACCATTTTTAAAAATAGAAAAAAGTATTTTCTACATTTTCTCACTTGGAACAATTAATAATAATAATAATAATAATAATAATAATAATAAAAGAGAAAAAAGAAACGAAAAGTGTCATCTTCCCCTCCCTTCCCGCCCCGCCACTACCATCGAGAAATTAATGAGATTTCTTTCCTTAAGATTCACAACCCAAATTCAATGAAAAGAACCTATTTTTCAAGCTCTAATTTTTGTGAACAGCTTAATTGGGAGGTTTGGAGCAATTGTTCAAGGCAGTGTAATGTGATGGTTGTGTGGCAACGATGACAACAACGTTGGTCGAGGATGTGGTGGTGCCTTAGCGGAGGTCTACTGTTGGAGGTTTCGAGGAAATTGACTTCTTCTTTTTTTCCCTTTTGTTTCCTTTTTCATCTATTTTCCTTTAACCTCTTTATATAAATTATCTATATAATTATTTTGTCCTTCTAAAAAGTGGACAACTAACAGAATTTAGTTGGAATCCATTCAAAGGTCCTAGCAATGCAATTGCGTGTCAAACTTCAAAAATTAAGGGTGCGTTCTCTTTGCCATTTTCGGGTCGTTTTCTGTTTTCGATTTTTGAAAATAGTGAAAACGTGTTCTCTTTCCTATTTTTGAAAACAAGTTTTTGAAAATGAAAAAAAATTTCTACACAAAACGCAAAATGACAGAAACATCGTTTTGGAGTTTTCAAGCCAAAACCACCAAAAACTCCAAAACACGGGAAACAACCTTTTCCATTTCCAACCCACCACTGTTCCTCCTTCTGCCAAAACAATAGAGCAGTTTC